CTTTTAGTACATTCCTTGTATGAAAAGACATTCTAGTAGAAGTTCACACATTCAGTGTTGTTTATGATGATTGAGGTGACTGAAATGTGCAGGAGGTTATTATATAACACTAATTCTAAACTTCTGTTATCCTGCGTAAATTAGCTTCCTTTCATAGGCAGTGGGCACAAGGCTCCAAGGATATCCTAGATTGTACATAAGCACGAAACAGATCCATCCAATTTGCCATACATGTTGTTACAAAAATGGCGCTATTTGTCTATTCCCTCTCTAGCTCAAGATTATACAAACACAGCCTCTCAGAGGATCTCCAGCAAATTTATAGAATGACAATAATCCTTCCATGGGCACTTCATATAAATGTATAGCAGAATTTCTATCAGATATTATTTTTAAATACCTGAATCTGTTAGTACACAATGGAACATAGAGATCCTGGTACTGAAAGCCTAGAATATCATCTAGGTATACTTTTTAATGATTCTATGAATGATAAAATTCATATATAAATATAATGCTCTGTCACTGGAAGTTTTCAATAAGAGACTGAAATTGTGTAGAGTCTCCTGCTTGAACAGTAGGTTGGGCTAGAAAATCTTTTCGGTCCCTTCCAACTCTGTTATTCTGATTCTGATATTGCCTTATAAAACAATGAGCTTCCTATTGCGCCACCACGGATTGCAAAACAATCTAAAATTAAATTGGATTTGGTGCCACATGGTTGAATAAGTGTCTTCATATATGACTAAAATCATTACCAGTCCAACCTCTAAACTGCTTCCTAAAGTCTTCCTTAATAGAAAGGGGAAGTCGTAGTCCTTGGTGCTATATAGTAAGAAACAGTCTGAACTAACTGAAATGTATTTTAGAAGATGGGGTGGTTGCAAATGGATGTGCAGACCTTAAGGAAGAAAAATATACTAAAATGGGAAATAACAATGAGATATAAAGAGGAAGAAAACTTAATATGCTGCCAAGAGATGCCTATAGTATGTATGCAGGCTTCTCCAAACTGCTCGCTGTAATCATGCTGGATGAGAATTGAGGGATTTGTTAACTTAGCATAACCTGAAGACATCATACTAAGGAAGATTGCATGACTGCCACAATATACCAAAGGAAAATTCTTCCACAGAGCAAAGTTGCACCTTATCTAAAATCTGTTGATCAAAGACTCTGAATGTCTCCCATTTACTTTTTTCTCAGTTACCAAAGATTCCAAAATGTCACATGAAGGTGTATTTCACATATGGCCACATAGAAACATGGGCTTCTTAGCCTTAAGTATTTCTGGGTTAAAACTAAAGTACATTAGAAAAGAAATAACAGAGCAAATGGCAATCTTGCATAGCTTTATATAAAATGCTTTGGCATAAAATTAAATATTTTCACAGCATAGATATTTAATGCAAAATTATCACTAATACTATCCAAACCCACAGAACTGAAAATATTCCAGTCATATGAGTCTTCAAGCCCTCCCTTAAATTATGTTATTGGCAAAATTCAGCAGGTATTCCTCAGTTAAAATGATAGACTCTCTTCTCTAATCTCCCCGGCTTGCATGTAATGTGTTAAAACCATAGAAAACTGATGGCAGAGAAAGGCCTAGTGGTCCATCAAGTCTGTCCTTTGAGTTTGTTTTTTTATAATCTGATGATGGAGGTGTGTTTATCCCAACCATGTTTAAACTCAGCTACTGATAATTGACCCATTACCTCCACCAGTGGTGGGATTCAGGTTTTTTTTTTACTACTGGTTCTGTGGGCGTGGCATGGCTTGGTGGGCATGGCAGGAGAAGGATACTGTAAAATCTCCATTCCCTCCCCACTCCTGAGGGAAGGTTACCATCGGTTCTCCGAAATACTCAAAATCTCCACTACCGGTTCTCCAGAACTGGTCAGAACCCACTGAATACCACTTCTGACCTCCACTGAAAGTTGGTTCCAAGCTTCCACTATTCTTTCTGTGACTACTTTCTAACATTACATTTGAACTTCCGTCCTGTCAGTTTGTGACTGCTACATGAAACCTGCTTGCAACCATCACACAAGCATATATTAGATTTTGTTTACAATGGAATTAGTGACAATTGATTCTGCAGTGTCTTTTCCTAGCTGACAGCATTTGGTTAATTTCCAAGATGAAGATAATGTTTTCATTTTTTGGAGGCTATATAATTTTTCTGCTGCACTTATGTACTCATATACATCTCTAGCTCTCCATCCCTCCCTAAAAGACTAGAGATATATATTTAGATGAGAATGCACATGTTGGAGATATAGAATAGGGAGTGTACAAATTCCAAAAAATAAAATAATAATAAACTGAATAGTTGGATAAAAATGCCAAATCCAGTATAAATATCTGGCTGTGTGACCAACCAAAATATAATAATATAAAAAGTCTTTAAAAAAAAAACACTTGGTTTTCCTATCATACCATTTCTTCCTGAATCAAGGTATCCACTCTCTTTATCAGATCAACACACCCTTGCTATTAAGAAACAAGAGAATTGCAACAGTTGCAATAATGACTAAAAAAAAGGGGGGGCCAATGAGAAACTTTTGACTGTGCAAAAAGTATACTAAAAAGCTACAAATATCACATTCCAAGAGACAGAACATACTGACATTGTTAGACTAGCAGTTTTTCTAGCAACAAATCCACATAGTATCCTTGTTTTGGTGCAAGCATAACATCAGCCCAATAAGGAAGACCTGAGTAAGAAACCAAAGCAATATAAATCAGGACTATTTTTATTGCCAAACCTTTATAACTGAATCTTGCAAGTCTGAACGTGTTTCCTCTCCCTCGCTTTATCATCATGTGAACTAATGAGGGTCTTGTCTGAGATACCGTCTCAAGTTATTTTCTTGGCCCAAGCTCTAACCCCTCTTACCTTTGCATCAGTGCTTCCTTCCTCTTTCCTTTCAATGCCCTATGGCATTCCCTATGGCCTCTACAGATAGCTCACTAATCATTCCAACAGTGCTAGCTCAAGGGTATAAAATACCCCAAGATTGCATTGATGGATGGTATCTCCTGCTATTAACAGGAAGTTTTGCATTTTCAGGGTAACTGGGAAGGAGGGATAATATTGGTGTCTCTTAAGCTTTGGGGTTCCATTCTGCTTCTGAATACTATGTGAAAGTTATATAAGATACACGATGCACACGACATCTTAGAATTGCAACTGAAATGATCCTCCACTTGTATTTCTGTAGCCTGCCTGGGAAAGAATTCTGTTTCTAGTGACTTTGTCTTAGGAGACCTGGCTTCTAACATACTGTTAATTGGATACTGTGCAGCTCTTATATAACAAAATACCTTTCTCAAACTTTAAGATTTCAACAGCATTCGCCCAGTAGTTGTGCAATCTGGGCAATCACTTGATGGCAGACAAGCAATACAAAAATTATGTACTATTGTCATCTAATGGTTGATAGTTGAACCATCCATAATTTCAAGAAATACAGAAATGTTCATTCAGTCAAGAGTGTGATAAAAAAAAAGAAGAAAAAGGGAGGGGGGTGGAATCAGCACATGGAGTAATCAGAGTATTGTGCATGCCAAGTGGAGGATGTTTCTCATCTGATGAAAATGGTCAGGGCTGGAATATCAGAGCCATCAATCACAGTCTATAGAACAATCTGATGTGTTTCAGCACTGCAACACAGAACTGTTATGTATGGAGAATATGGATGCTGTGGGGACAGCAAGAATTAAGGCGGCAAGATTTACTGCTGGCTTTGCTTTACTGCTTACAGTCCTACTATCTGTTACAAGATACATTTATTTGGAAATAGTGGTAATGAAACCTGGGCTCTTATGCATGTATCCTTTGTGTTTTACTGCTGAGCTATGACTGCTCTACTTTAAACCCTTCAATAATTATATTAAGTGGACTTTACATTAGTATACATTCATCTATGTTTCTCCACAGCCTAAATTCAGAAACAAAGTAATAGGACTTTAAATCATACAAGCTGGAAGCTTAAGAGGAACAGAATAGACTAACAAGCTTAATATAAATCAAATAATATTACTTGATACTTCTCAAACACAAAAACACTACCAACCTATCAGACCACCCACTTCTTCCACTGAAAAGCAAAAACCAACAAAAAGAGAAATAAAATCTAGTTCAAATTAGCAAAACAATTTGCCCAGTCTCTTGGATGACTGGTGGCAGTAAAAACTTTTCAAATGCCTCCAGATGATCATACAGTTCTATTCCTGTATGGCCATTAAGCTGTCAAGGATTGATAACCAAAAAAGATTCAGAAAAAGCAGTGGAGAGGCCCAAGCCAAAATTCAGGGGAAAACTCTCAAGGTCTAACAAAGTGCAAGTCATTAAATAAGGCCGTTGTATCCCAGCCTTAATTGAAACTGAAAACATTAAAAAGATTCTGTGAATATTATTACACTCTCTTCCTTTCTCAAATGATTACAAATCACCATCCATCATTACTCAGAGTTAACTAGTGACATCCCCCACCCCATTAAAGAATATATTTGAGTGTTCCTGTTCAATACAGAAAAGAACTCCAGTATGAAAGCACCCTTGAAGAAGATACTCCCATTGCCCTTTGACAATAGATCAAGAGGTAGGAATAGATGCAGTTGACCTTAAGTTATTTACTGGACATTCAAATGCCAAATCTTGATTAAAGCTGCTTGTCAAAAAGGGCACACAGCTACCTGGATGTCTGGGGTGGTTCCTAATCATATTGTTGTGAAAGAATAACTGGCTTTGTGGGGCTGGGGTATGAAGAGCACGGGGCACAGGAGAGGTCTGCAGGAATCAGACTGACCGTATTCATTGTGCAGTCATGGAAGTTGAGGACAGATTGTTCACTTTTGGCAAATCAAGGCAGAGGAGAAAGTGAGGGATTAACATTTCAAGAACTGTGGACAAATCTTTGTGCTAAGGATTCTCCCATTCCCACCAGAACACAAACCATCTCTGATTCAGGATCCATTTCTTATTAGCCTCATAAGTCTTTGAGGAATTCTAAACAGATAAGTCAAATGAAGAATTTTCACTTCACAAATAAACCGTATTGAATTCCTGATCTGCCTGGAGGGCTTCTGTTCACAGCATATCAGTGTCTTCCATGCTGAAGCTGCTTCTCCGACTGCTAGCCTTTGAAGCCTCTGGGGACACAGTGGAAAACAGGGAGTCAGAAGCCACAGGAAGCATAGTATCCTCCATTAGCATCAAGTCTAACTCCTTCTTGGACAAGGACGGGAAGGAGACATTTTGGCTAGGGTCCAGCGGGTCATGGAAACCTCTACAACTGTCATCAAAGCTCAGGCTATGGGTAAAGTCCAGCTGATGATAAGGAGACTGAGGAGGAGGAGGAGGAGCAAAGTGAGGCAGGTGCTGAGCTTCCTGTTCAGCTTGGAGTTGTGGCTGCTGTAAGACCTCTGCTGTCCCCTCCTCTCCAGAAGTTTCTTGCTTCACCATGTGCTGAGCTAGTTCAGCCATGTTCGTGCCAGAAGGTGAAGTGGTTGGTAACCCATGGACTCGGGCTTGCATCTCCAGTTCCTTGAGGACAAAGCACCAAAATAAAGAATTCTTACAAAAGAAAAGTATAGGATGTGTAATCACAACCACCATCACACCTCTGCTCAGTTCTATTATGAATACACAATGTGCAATAAACAACAATTCTATGATGCAAGCTTTGGAACCTTCTACACTGGATAAGTATAGTATGATCAATAAACAACAGTCTTTACCTCCATATAGCAAATGCAAATTTTACAATACATATACCTACGTTATTTTTTTCCATTTTTTATTTTTCCAATCTAAGTAAAAATTGAAAAGAATATATGTAAAAGGTCCAAGACTCAGTTTGTCAGGATAACTCTCCAAAACCAGAATGGAACAAGATCAAATTCAATATATGGAGAGAAGCTGAAAGAAGGACTAAGTTCAAAATGTCAAGATTTAGGTTATGGATGTGGAAGGTGGAAAATCCAGAGAAAAACCCCAATGCTTCCCTATGGAAGAGACAATTGGGCAGTAATCAAGAATGTTGCCAACTTTTCTCTTTATAAGTCTCCCTCCCTTCTAGTCACATGAACTAGCGTGAAGGTGCTATTAAGGAGCTGGGAAGAAAATTCAGAAGCCATGCTCTGTATCTCTTCCTTACTGGTTTCATTTTGCATTTGAAACATATAGATTTAAAACCAGAGATTTTTTTATTGGGAATCTTACCTGATACATACAATAAAAATTTGAAATATTTGATTGTAAATGTATTAACAGCGGCTAGGATTGTATTTGCTAAAAATTGGAAGAGTGAGAAAATACCATCACAGGAAGAAATTATTAAGAAAATATTGGAATGTGCTGAAATGAGTAGATTGACATTTGAAATTAGAGAACAAGAAGATAAACGATTTTATGAAGTTTGGGACCTTTTCTATCAATGGTTAGATAATAAAATATAAAATATAGAATATTTAGAATCTTAGGAAACAATGAATACATATTTCCTTTTTTTCTGTGATATTATCTTTATAAAATTTTATTAAGATAGACTTGCTATGACTTTATGATTTGCTATAAAATAAATTAAGTAAACTATAGTTATCTCGCTAAAGTATGAATTAATAAAATTATAGTCAAATGATTGTTTAATAATGATATCAGGCTATATAATTGTTGATTGATAATATGAGCTATTATGCAATATAACTATAATGGAGACTATGAAATGGATGCACAAAAAAAAGTGATAAACCAACCGATACACTGTTTGTAAACTCATGAAGGAAAGGATGATGTTTTTTGTTTTATGTGTTTTTGTTTGTTGTCAAAATTAATAAAACTGTTTTCAAAAAAAAAAAGAATGTTGCCAACTTTTCTCTTTTTAAGTCTCCCTCCCTTCTAGTCACATGAACTAGCGTGAAGGTGCTATTAAGGAGCTGGGAAGAAAATTCAGAAGCCATGCTCTGTATCTCTTCCTTACTGGTTTCATTTTGCATTTGGATTTATAAATGCTCCAAGTAATCATTTTAAATGTTTTCCTGCAGCAGGTGGAGTAATGGATAGGCAACTTTCTAAATTCAGAAGCCATAACTAACTTCCCAACAGGTGAAGCACCAAAAGGGGAATAGCTATTAATTTTTAATATTAACTCTTGAGAGGCAAATTGTCCTACTTTTAGTCTTCCTTTCAGTTTTGCAGTCTTTCACCCGATCTCCACCCATTTGACAACCAGTCACAGTTTAACAGTGCCATTTCGAACTATTTGGAGTGGGTATGCTGAAAATAATTTTTCTTCCAGAGCATCTCACTTTTATTTCCACTTTCATTTTTGAAAAGAAAAGTGGTCATACTTTTAGCAGCAAAATCAGATGTTAGGGAACTGAAAATAGGGTACTTGAAACCTTGTGTAACCCAGAGTCTGCTCACTCCTGAAGTTCAGGGTAGAAATAGAAAATGAAAATGAAGCATTTCCATAAACTATTTTTCAACAAAACTACCTTGGATGCCACATCACCATGTGAGAGCAATGTTGGATTGAAAAAGAACACATGGTATGACTTTCAGGCAATCACTGAATTCCATCAATGAGCACACAGAAAGGACTATCACTGTAAGAATTTGCTTTGTAGCCCATGTTTTGAATCTCTTCTATTTTTTCCCTAGCATGACAATATGAAGCAAGCCTTCCAAATAGAGGTAGAATTAAACTAATATCGTTTCAGTGAGACAAGAAAGCAGTTTCTACAAGAACATGCAGTAAAAAATACAACAGGCAGTAAAAAGTACAAGACATGGGGTTCACCTGTATACGAAGCCAAAGCTGCTTGTTAGCCATTTCCAGGCGCCGAGAATGATTCTCAAGATCTCGTGATCTCTGCAAATCTTTCTGCATCCTTCTGATATAGTCAACAGAGGCTTTCAAGATTGTCCCTTTGTTCCAACGCACATCTCTGGAATAAAGCATAGGGAAAAAAACCCGTTGCCCTTTCAAAAGATTACTTCCAGAGTTAGAAAACTCTTGCTCATAATCCGTTTAATTTTTGTTTGAGATTTTCAAACAAATGGACAAACAATCAATAATTCATATAGAATTTATTATACTTTATATGGTCAAATGACTTGACTTCTCTAGATTAGATGTGCCACCTCCCTAATTGCTAGACTTTTAAGCTGTTTTATCAGCTTGGGCGGATGAAGCAATCTCTCAGAAAACAAAGCAAGATTGGTACCAAAAAATGTATCCAATGATACATAGATGTCATATGGAACTCATAGGAACCAATAAAACAACGTCACAGCACTAACATTCCCAGAAGAAATTAAGCTGTGCCAAAATTGTTCTGGGACTCATATAAACATGCAATATGGCTATATTGCATGTTTATATGAGTCCCAGAACAATTTTTTCCTCCATCAGAACACACTGAAGGGCTGACGCATCTATGTCTTGCTTGATATGCACAAAGCAACAAGATAGCACTTGTGGAAGCTAAAATCAAAATTGCCTGTTATAGCTGGATCTTTTGTAAAATATGGCAGTCTTGCAAGATTTTAGCATTTTTAAAATGCATTCCTTCATTCATTCACAATCAGTGGTGTGTACCACCTGCAAGTTTTGCCATAGCATTATAGACTGCATTATTTTTCTACTACAGCATGGCTTTCTTTTCCTAGAGTGCCAGATAATTTTTAAATGTCTTTTCCAACATTACCAATTAGTAGATTCAACTCTACTCTGGCTGCCAGGCCCTTGCTCAGAAACACTCTTTCCTCACCCAGCCTCTCCAGATGTGTTGGGATTACAACTCCAGAGTTCCCAACCACTGGGCATTTTCACAATCAGAGTTCCTCATTCTGGCTACAAACACTAGGGGTTGGCAAATGGCAGCCACAATCCAACCAGACTGAAGCAGGGTCATGTCACATTAATCGTGTATGTGAAGGACTAATGTTCCTTTTATCTAAAATTCATATGAGGTGTCATTTTGATCACATGCTATCTTTAACCAAACCCTCTTGTTGAAATCTGAATGTAGTCTGTTGTGTTTGTTTGTTTATAAGCTTTCCATAGCAAAGAGCTCTGGTGTGTGAAATATGAAGGAGCAGCTTTCACTCCTCACTCAGCCAATGGCTATTTAAGGGAGCACAACACTGGAGCTCCTTTCTGATGCTATTCTTATACGGTCTTGCTCCCTTGGTGCTATTTTGGCATTTTACAGCACTCATTCTATCTATACTCAGTGCAAATGCAGGCTTATACCTCACTACAAAATGAAAAAAAAAATCAAATCATAGGGCATGCAGGCATGAGGGGAAAACAGATTAGCCAGATCTTGTGGTTTCCTTCAAAATGGCTTTTCTTTGCATTTTGTTTCTCTCCAACTGCAGCTATTCGTACAGAGCCTACTGGAGTAAAACAGCTTTAGAAACAGGATGCTGCAGGGATTTTTTTTTTGCCTGGAAGAAAGAGTAGGTGCAGGGTAGAAGGTCAGCCTTCCCGCTTATATTATCCCCCAGAGGTATTGACAGGGACAATAAAAAAAGTTAAGATGGTGGCCAACCCAACATGATTAAAGCATGTAACACACATATAAAAAGGTAGGGATTTTATATGGAGAATTTTTCATTTGAAATTTGAAGGTGTTTGGTGTGTTTTTTAAAAGGCAGATATAAAATATAGTTTTCAACACAACAGACATGGGAAAAAAATTTCCCATCCAGCTTTTACTCTGGTTGCCTATTTCTCAATTTGGATTCTTGTCTCTCTTTAAGAGGCAACAGGAAAATATGAACCATTGACTAGAACTTACAGATCACTTGCTTTTGGAATCAGCATCCCTAATTCCTTAATACGATCATTAATGTTGAATCTCCGTCTTCTTTCAACTTAGAACAGAAAGAAAAAAAAAATCCTGTATGAGATATTAAACATTATAAAAGTATCAACTTTGTTCATCAAAAAACAAGTATAAAGAGGGTGAAATAAATAACCAGAAATTGCTTATTTTAAGAAAGATATAATATATTTGAATCATGGGCAACCAATGACAGAAGGAGAACAACTCCGTTTTGAAGGGCCGGGCCTATACTGATGAACATCCTTAGAAAATTCTAAGTTCCTCCTTTTGCATTGCCCCAATTATTCCTAAATTCCTCCTTTTGTATTAAACCAATACAGGAACAACAGTCAACCCATCTGGATGCTCACACAACAAAGCAGTTCCAATACAACGTATTATTTCCTTTGCTGGACAGATCTTATCTGACTATTATAATCCAATTCCTGTATTGGATTACTGCATTGCACTTCCTATGAGAATGCAAGGCAATAAAAGAAATTGCAATGGATCCAAACTATGGTGGCTAGGGTTAGATAGGGTTATATATATGGAACCATGAAAACACTTATTCTGGGTAAATAGCACTAATTCCCATCAGCCTTCTTATTAAAATCATATTGTTTGTGATACATATATTTCTTTAATTCATCCTTTCTTTTAATCTCTTGTAAAAAATAACCTATATTTTCTTTTGTTCCTTTTCCCCCCCAATTCACACCTGGATTGTATAAAATACTCTGCAATAATAGCTTTTCTTGTACCCCAAATTGTTCTTAAGTCTGTGCCTTTGTTTAAGTTGTTTTCAAAAAGACTCTGTTATTTTCTTTTAATAGTCTTTCACTATCCAGTCTTTCTGTAATAATATTTCATTTAATATCCATCTAAAAGGTGTGTGTTTTCTTTTGAGAATCAAATTCACTGGATTGTGATTAGAAAAAGTCTTTAATAGAATCCTTTAGAGGTACTGATGACCAGATTTTTCAAAATTCATATAATACCTATTTTTGAAAACAAGAATAGTAGTATGTTTTTGAAAAATAAGTGTAATCACTAGATTTGCCCCTTTTTTTTGTCTCAATATGTCAACCAAAGCTAAATTGTCCATTAAATTGAAAGTCTTTGGTAATTTTGAGTATTTTTATTTTCTTCTCCGATTTTCTTTATAACTATGGAGAAACCACGCAATTCCAATAGTCTATCAATCACCACTTTTCATATGAAAAGTTTATCAATTGTTCCATATGTTGTTTATAAAAATTCTCTTTATTTTTGTTTGACACATAAAGCCCCAGAACAAAAGTTTAAGTCCTTGTAATGCAATTTCCTTCCCCACAAATTAGAATTATTAATTGGGGCTTAACATATAGAACAACTCCATTTTTTTTTGTTCCTGCCAAAATAAATTCTTCTCCCTAATTTTTATAAATAAAATATTTTGTGACTTTGTTCCTAATGTGGATTTCTTATAAGCAAATGATGGCTTGTTTTAACTTTTTTCAAGTAATTAAACTTTAACTTGGGGAAAATTTACCCCATTTATTTTCCATGTTAAAAATGTATATTTCATGATTAATCAAATAACTTAGAAAAACTTGTGCCTGTATCAACCACTTTTTCAACATTTCGCTTATTTTAATGACTTTTTAATCAGTTTTCTCCATAATTTCATTTTGAACCTCTTACATTTTTGAACCATAATTTCATTTTGAACCTCGTTGCTTTAAATTTCTCCCAAAATTCTCTGGCCCTTTGAGCTATTGCTATAGCTATTGCTATAATAGCAATAGCAATAGCATTTAGACTTATATAATGCTTTACAGTGCTTTAAAGCCCTCTCTAAGCAATTTACAGAGTCAGCATATTGCCCCCAACAATCTGGGTCCTCATTTTACCGACCTCTGAAGGATGGAAGCTTGAGTCAAAAAAGAGAAAACAAACAAAACCTTAAAAAGAAGCAAGCGGCAGCATACTGAATCATCTGAAGAATAGATCTGCAATGCTCTTTGGCTTTTTGCTCTTTCTAATACTCATTAGGGTGCATCCTATGTGCTCATTTGGGTGTACATGAACAGATAAGCGTGTAAGTATAACATGAACTCCAGTACAAAAAGAAAGAGTTTTGATTATAATAGGGGAGCGCAAGTGAATGGGGTAGGGGGAGGCCAAGTATTAGCAAAAGGAATGGAAGTACTTTGAGATATGTAATTTCTGGATATGTGCATAAAATAGCTTTTCTGAATCCTGACCGGAACATCTATGCTAATTGTGCTCATTTTTGATCTGCTGGTAACTTTGTAAATACCAAATATTACAAAAGCATCATAATAAACAGCCAGATATTTTTCTTCTAAAGCAAAACCAAGTAGGATTTTTGCTGTAATCTTTTATTAGTGGCTGGTAATATAATAAGGAATCATCGCAGAGGTTAGGTCACTTCCGCACACATGCCCAGAAAGGAAAGGAAGGGTTCTTTATTTGATCCCAGGGAAGCAACATACTACAGGGTTTGTTTGTTTTTTTATGATTTTCAACCATTTGTAATCATAGTATCCTCAAACAAGAGGATGGTTTTTAAAATTAAATTTAATAAAATCATATGTGACTGCATTTTTCCTGACCAGGCAGCACTATTACCTGAATTCATATATTACATAAAAACTTCTCCCCTCCCCTCCTCTGAAGGAAAACAAAACCAAAAAGGACATTTTAAGAGGGGGGAAAAAATCTATGAATCAATCAGATAGTGAAGCAAATTAAATGATAAAATTAGTTATATGAAAGCATGGTTTTGCAGAGGACAGTAAATCAGCTCCAGGCGCATTCAATGACCATTGAGTGTAATTGATCTCTTTACATTCTCTGCACCAGAATAATAAATGGAACATACTTATTGCTTGCGCATAAAAATACTGTTTCTAAATCATTGACCACAATTAGATCAACAAAAGGGCTAATGAGATATAGCAGAATGCCTTTCAGCCACATGGTTTTACCAGCCTCGTCTTACTTAGATTATGATTGTCCTTCTTCTGGCGTTCCTTAGCCAAGGCACGGCTCTCGGCATCTAAAGATAACACAACAAGCTGTTACGAAAAGCAGTGGGCCAACCAGAACAAGTTTCATTTTATAAACACATGCATGCATGTGTATAAATAGATTCATTGCTGACCTACAGTTGGGAGAAAGCAAGCACTAAAAATTACCCTGACCACTCGGGCATATGCACACTGGCCATGTTACCTGTAAGCTCTTTCTTTTGAGTGAGATCAGCAGGGCAGGAGCTGCTGGTAATGCCCACCACAGAAGGAGTCATCTGGAGGTCACTGTTATAGACATTCATATGGCTGCTGGACAGAGGCAACTGGAAAACAAAGGAAGGGAGACAAATGCACATTTATTTCAACACAGAAAATAAGAGGATGAGAAAGTACCAGCCAATAGAGGACCTGATTCTCTACAGGAATTTCCTGTGGCTTTTTGCACTTCACCACTCTTCCCAACCATGTATTCATTATATTCAGGGGGGAATATTCATTATATGCAGGGGGCTCAAATATTTACATTGCATGTTTGTCATCTAACAATGTTATGAAAATAGGTTTTACTATTTTAAAATGTTTGCATTCATAAATAGTATTATTGGTGTCCTACAAAACAGTGACTCCAAATTAATTATTTGGAAAGAAAGGAAAGATAGATGCAACCACTTTATTTCAGTTGTTTTATTCCTTCTCCCAGGAACACTTTTTTGCCTAGAAACAAGAAATTTTGGTTTTTTTAAAAGGCATACTCACAGTATTGGGCATATGAATTTCCGGATTAAGACATCCCACAGTAGTTGTCAGCTGCATGATATCTTCAATGACATCATCTATCTAAAACAGAGACAAAAAGGCTATCAGATATAGATTTTTGAATGCATTTTGAAGGGATTTTCAAAAATGTCTATAAATTCAGACATGGGAAATGTAAGTTTGTTTGATTGGTTGATTGATTGATTTTGAATATATAACACTTGATTCCAACAGACTCGGGGCTGCTCACCCTTAAGAACAGCCTCCAGGCATCTCTGATGGACTTGCTAAGTCAGGGTCCAAATCAGAGTATATCTGTTGTTGTGGTTTGAGCAACTCTATCTGACTAAGGCTTCAGCTGAATCACCCAACTTTCAAGTTCTCTCTGATAGTTTTCTGCAACAGAAGGGTGATGCAAAACACCACCTTTCATTATGTAGCCCCCACCCCCTCTGATTACATAATCAGAGTATCATGAGGTTCAGTTACAGCTGGACTTTTCCATTTCAGATTACAGGATGAGTGTAAAGAACTTGAGTTCTTCCTAACCACAGTTTTAACCCAATCTCTTCAACAATTCCTGTGTCCCCCGAGGAACTTACAAACCTCTCTCTCTGGATTGGAGCTGATATTAAGCATTGCCATTGGACTGTTTGGAGTGCTGTTGCCTGCAGAAGAAGGCATGGCATGAACTGGTCTCACCCCAGGGGAGGCTGAAGGAGGAGGCTTGGGAGAAGGAGCACCAAGTAGTGGTGCAAACTTGTTCCCGTAAGTTTCAGACAGATATTCTTGGACCTTCTTGTCTCGAGACCTTTGGATATGGTAGGTGGTAGGATTCTCTAAGAAGGACTGAACCTAAAAAGTATTGGAGAAATAGAAGAGCTATCACATAAAGGTAAACATAATTTTCAAATAAATATCGTCTTCAGAAAGAAATAGGCTGTGTTCATACTAAAAGAAAAACTCCACAAAATAAGTTATCCATAATATCAGAGCCCCAGACCTGATGGCAGTGCCAGATTTTCATTTCTTCAAAAGTTTGATTTCTGGAGTGGAATGGTTCCAGGGCAGGTGCTAGGACACAAAAGGTTGCTCTCTCACAGGAGATCCAGAACATGCCTCTGCTGTTGGAATTAACAGGATGGCGAGGCATAATTGGGAAGAGATGGCCCCATAAATAGTCATGAAGAGCTTTCAAGGTAACCATCAGAACCTTGAAGTGCACCTGGAGCATACTGGTAGTCAATGCAGCTCACAGAGCAGAGATGTCACATCTGCTGAACAACCAGTATCCATAACTGCCCACACTGTCACATTCCAAATACTCTTCAAGGGCAGCCCCATGTAGAGTCTATTGCTGTAATTCTGTTGAGAGGTGATTGAGGCATGAGTGACTGTGAGTTCAGCTATACAAATGAATGTCACAGATCTTTTTGCTCATCCTCTAATAAGCCTCTAATTGGGTATGAGTCATTTTTAAAACTTTTAAAATTGCACCCAGCCTCATTTCTCCTTACCTTGATTTTTCATATCATGTATAGATTGCAGATTGCTAGAAGTCAGAGACCTATATTGCTTACATAACTATCAGACCCCTGATATCTCACCCTAAACAACCAAATACATTCCAGAGTCAGAAAGAACAAAAATCCTGCCCACATAGGTAAACCTTGCCATAATAAACATTTGTTTGAGATTTGTTAGATTTGTTATTCTTTGCAATCTAATTGGATTCAAAATCCCACTGGAAATAACATCCTATTATGAATTGATATTCAAAGATTGAACAACTATTTGCCCGGGGTGGAATAAGGATTTCCGACATGGGAAGGAGTTGAGCTAGGAAGCCTTTGAAACTCCTTCAAGCCTTATCATTCTATGAGGAGGAAAATGGATGGATTGTTTTATGTGTGTGTGTGTGTGTGTGTGTGTGTGTGTGTGTGTGTGTATGTATGTATGTATGTATGTATGTATGTATGTATGTATGGCATTCAGCTTTGTTCGGGTATTTTCCCACGTCATTGTAGTTGTGCTTTTAAAGTTGTAGCAACGTTTTGGCAGAATCTCATCTGCCATCATCAGGCTTCTGAATGGCATACATGTAAGTACCCGCGAAAACTTAACATACATACATAAATACATACATATTTTAATAAAGTTTTATTTGGGTTTTCACACACACAAAATACAAGTAAAACATCTTTTTTTTAAATAGCATGGTCCCAGGTTGAACTTCTTTATACAGACACAAACTCAATTTCATGCTCATTTTTGTGTTCTATTCCATATCTTATACTATTCTACATTTTCTATATAGTTTCTCTCCTCTTTTAATTTTCTCAATTTTATTTTGATTATCTCATCTCAATTCAAATCATTATATTTATACTTTTGTCTGTTCTGTTTCAATTTCATATTATCTTTTCTCATTAAACAAATTTTCTCCTGTAGTTACTAATTGGAGTATGACACCTTTATATCTTTTAATTACATCCATTCAACTCTTATTTAAACTTCAATATATACCTTAAGGTTATGACCTTCAATTTAATACATGATACATAACTTCCAATTGAATTCTGCTTGGTACATTCTTGTAATACACACTATATTCTTTTTTAAAAAAGGATTATAAATATATGTAATTATAAACCCTCATTCCATTCCAATTCAGTTCTATCATTAATAATCATTAAAGTCTTAACATCTTTAACATTTCTTTTCAATTAAATATCATACTTCCTTAAAGACACATATAATCTCCATAATTAATTTTTCTCTTATTTCTCTTTACATATGTTTTATAAATCATTAAATATTCATTTTGTTACATGTATTTATTGACAAGCATTCCACTAAGTTACGATAACCATTTTATCAAACATTTTAATCATACATTGTTTCATATTTTCTGAAATTATTTCTATTTCTAATATAATAATACTATCTTATGTACCTTTGCAGAATCCCTTTTTCACTCATTATCTCTAAATAGGCCCTGTTTCTCTATATTTTGTTTCTGTCCTTTATAACTTCTTTTCCTTTCTTTCTTCCCTCTCTTCTTCTCCCTCCCCTTTTTACCCCCTTGTCTCTCTACTTCTAATTCTTTCTTCTTCATTTCCCTCTTCTGTTGCTTTCTGATTTTATACTTATTTTTCACTCTATTCTTTTTCTGGGTTGTTTTTGCCAATCTTAAACTTTCCATTCTCTTTCCCACGCTTTCCTTTTTTCCCCCACCTAAGATTATTTGTTCATTAAAGATGGCTTCTTCTTTATCCCAATCTTCTTGTTCTGCAGGCATTTCTTGTTGTTTCTCATAGTTCCAAATGTCCATTTCTAAAAACTGAAATACAAAGCCAAAAGAACCTCTCCCTTCTTGTGCATCTTCTTTGTACTTTTTAAGTTCCATTTTCAGTTCTTCTAAAAGTGGAGCCATTTTAAACAGTTTTAAACAACTGATTGATTTTAGTCATTCAAATGCAATAACCAAGAATCCAGAGATCACCAAGTAATCCAAATAGTCCCAAGCTGTTTCTTCTTATTTCTTTTTTCACTTTCTCTTCCTGGGGTTTTACTGTTTTGTTGTGATGTTTCAGTTAAGATGTATCTTTTTGAAGTCTTGTTGAGATTTTGCTGTAAGTTCTTTTTAATTCCAGGCAGTCTCCTCCCTTCCAAATCCTGCCCTTTTATTCTTTTTCTCTCCTTTCCTGTTTTCAAAAACTTTTAATTATCCAGAAATCCTTATTATCCCTTTGACTTTTTATTTTCAGCTTAAATGCCTATTAATATCAAAGTGGATTTTTTTCCAATTTCTTGCTTAAGTCTCTTAGCTGTCAGTATAGGAAGAGGAGAAAAAAAACCAAATCCTTTCTTTTTTCTCTCTCCTTTGCAGCTTAGAAATCTTCTTAGGGAACAATGTTATTGTGTTTTTTTTAATAGTTTCAATTCCAGGGTACCTTATTTGTTGCTTTTGCTGTTTGACCCGGTCAAACAAAACTTTCTCTTCTTATCTTCCTCCTGCACATTCTTTTCCGGTCAAGTTCTTCTTTGTGGTGGCCATTGCTAACCACCGCTACAACCGCCTTCAGGAAAGGGAGTAATGGCCAGCTGGAGAGGAGAGATGCGGCTCTCCTCAACCCTGCAGGCAGTCTCCCCCTTCTTCACCACCTCTACGGGGTGGCTTAGCCCTGAAACCAGCGAGCTCGGGGTGCTCCAGCGGCGAGCACGGATCGAAACCACACAGAGACACGGTTTCGGTCTGTCACCGAAGAAGCTCAAACCAGAAGTCGGATTGTTGTATTTTTAAGGCAGGGTGGAAGAAAGGATTTTAATACTTACAGGTAGTCTTTAACATATGACCAGTGGCTTAACAACCATTTGGACTTACAATGGACCCCCCCAAAAAAGCTACTTACAACTCATTTTCAGAATTATGATGGCTGCAAACCTCTAGTCACAAAACTGTATTTTGAGCACTTGGCCCAACCAGCCTATTTTTATGAACTTTTGCAATATGCCACTATAATGTGACCACAATTTGCAAGTCTTTTGCTGTTTTCTGGGATTTATGACTGGTTCCCAATTAAAAATATACCCATTAGGTAAAATGGATTCATTTAGCAGCCATAGCGTCTGCTTAAAGGGGAGAAATGAAGGGTAAGATTCAAAATTCAGAGGAGAAGATGGGAACGATCCAACAGACCCTGGAGAAGAATGAACAAAGAATAAAGAATATAGAAACTAAAGCTGAACAAACAGATAAGAGATTGGAAGGGATGGATAGGAAAGTAATAGAGATGAACAGAGACTTAGAAGATTCGATTATCCATCTCGAAATGGAACATGCAGCATTCTATTTGAGGTTCCAAAATGTATTGGAATCCAATATGAAGACCTGGGAGACATAATGTCCTACTTAATAGCAGAGGCATTGCAAAGGGATGAGCAGGAAATAGTGGAAGAATTAGATGAGGTCTACCAAATCCATACAAACTACGCCAGATGAAACAAGCTGCCTAGAGAGGTCCACATCAGGTTCACCAGAAAAAATGTAAGAGATATTGTATATAGAATCACAAAGGACAAGCCAATGGTATATAAAGAAAAAGAGATCATGACCTTGAAACAAATCCCAAGGCAGGTAAGAGAGTTGAGGAAGGACTACAGATCTCTGGTGATACTCCTAAATAAATGAAATATCTGGTTCTGATGGCTGGTCCCTGAAGGAATGCTGGTAACGTGGTCAGAAAGAAGAGTAAAAGTTGATAGTATTGAAAAGGTGCAAGAACTTTACGATCAGTTGATGGAAACAGAGGAAGAGGGGAGCAGTAAAGAAGAGTCAGAAAGCAAGAGTCAGGAGGACCAACAAGAAGATCAGCAACAGGGAATACAGGAAATGGACCAAGAAGAGAGAGGCAAAGAAAAGAGAGAATACCCAAGGAGAGAAGGACTAAGAAAAGACCCCAAAGAGAAGCAAGAACAAACAGAAGATTTAAGTAGACTCAGAATTAACAACGGAAGAAGAGATTAAATTACTCTCAATAAACATCAATGGATTAAACTCCCAGATCAAGAGGAAACAAATATTAACCAAATTAACTAAACAAAACATTGATATTATATGCCTACAGGAGGTACATACCCAAAAACATCATAAAAAATATCTAGAATATCCCAAGTTGGGTGTATTATTTACAGCATTGGCAGATCAAAAGAAAAGAGGGGTAGCAATTTACGTAAAAAAGGGATAAATGCAAAAAAAACTATGCAGATGAACAAGGCAGAATTTTAATGATACAAATTAATTTACATCAAAAACAATTACTATTAGTGGGGATATATGCCCCTAATGATAACCAGAAGAAGTTTTATAAGGGACTGTGTGATAAAATAATTAGTGTAGGTGAAGAAAATATTTGCTTGATAGGGGACTTTAATGCCATTGTTGATGTTAAAAAAGACTATATTAGTATGGAAGGGATTAGGAAGAAAAAAGAGAGAATTTTACACACAAAAAAAATTGATTTAACACATGAGACCAATTTGGAAGATATATGGAGGAAGAGGAATCCAAATGAGAAGAAATATACATTTTATTCTAGTCCACAAAAATCATGGTCCAGAATCGATATGGTATGGGTTAATGGGGCAATTGAGAAAGACATTAGTGAAGTAGAGATAATGCCTAATATATGGGCTGACCATAGCCCGGTTAAAATTACATGGAAAGGACATAGGAAAAGGAAAAGGAGATGGATATTAAATTCACAAATAACAAAGGAAAAAGAATACATCTCAAGAATTAAAAATGAGTTAGAAACATTCTTTAAAGTTAATCTAAAATAACATACTAGTTTACAAAATTTATGAGACACTACAAAGGCCTTCGTGAGAGGCATATCAATAGCCTATATAGCTAAGAAAAACAAAGAAAAATGGAAGAAACAGAACAAATTACAAGAAAGGATTAAAAATTTTGAATATGAGCTCCAAAAAAACCCAAAGAATATGGAAGTTAAGAAAGAAATAGGGATGATTAGACATGAACTAAATTTGATAGATATTGAGGAAAATGCACGTAACTTAAAAACTCTTAAATATAATTTCTTTGAATCAGCAAATAAATCAGGAAGGTGGTTGTCCCATAAATTAAAAATAGAGAAAGAGAAAAGACTAATTCAGCAACTCAAGGATGAGGAAGGGACAGTGTATTATCAGATGGAGGAGAAAAAGAGAATTGCGCAAAGGTATTTTGACGAGCTTTATAAGCAAGAAGATGTTAGGGAAGAAAACATTAGATACTACTTGGAGGGAAACGGTCTGAGCCCAATCTCAGAAAACAGAGAAGTACTTAATAAAGAAATAACATTAACAGAATTACAAAAGGCGATACAAAAACAAAAAAAATAATAAAACACCAGGCCCGGATGGTCTACCAGGTGAACTATATAAAAATTTAGCTGAAATATTTGAACAAATATTACTGGAACTATATAATGAGACATTAACGCAAGCTAGGCTTCCGAGGTCCTGGTCCGAGGCATACATCTCCTTAATTGCAAAAGAAGGCACTGATCAACAACTAATTGCGAACTATAGGCCAATCTCATTGCTAAATACGGATTATAAGATATTTATGACAAGATTAGCAGAAAGAATGAAACCAATTTAGAGTGAACTTATACACACAGACCAGAATGGTTTCCTGCCAAATAGACAAATTAAAAACAATATTAAGACAGTACTAAATTCGATTGAATACTATGAAGCTCACCCAGAAAAACAGACAGCTTTAATTTTTTTAGCTGCACAAAAAGCATTTGACAATCTTAATTGGAAATTTATGCTATATCAAATTAAAAAGCTGAATTTTGGCACTAATATAGAAAAAACACTACAAGAAATATACTCAAATCAAAAAGCCATTAAATGGAGATGGTACTGAAGATTTTGAAATTGCAAAAGGAGTGAGACAAGGGTGTCCATTATCGCCTATGTTATTTATCTTGTCTTTAGAAGTGTTGCTAGCTGCAACCAAACAAAACCCAGAAATTTATGGAATTAAGATTAGAAATGAGGAATATAAAGTTCAGGCATTTGCTGATGATTTGGTATTTATAGTGGAAGATCCAATGAATTCGGGACCAATATGGTTGCAACAAATAGAAAAATTTGGGGAAGCAGCAGGATTTAAAATAAATAAAAGTAAAACTAAGATGATAGTCAAAAAGTGTACAACAAAACAGAAACTAGAATTAGAAAACACAATGGGACTGCAAATAGTAAAAAAGGTGAAATACCTGGGAATTTGGATATCACCCAGATGTTCAACATTAAAAGAGGACAATTATGTTAAACTGATTAAGCAAATCAGAAAAGAATTGGAATTATGGGCCAAATTGAAACTGTCTATATTAGGAAAAATTGCAACGTTGAATACCTTACCAAAACTAATATATCTATTCCAAATGATTCCAATTAAATTAGGGAAATCTTTTTTTATAGAACTAAATAAAATGACATCCAAGTTTGTCTGGTCGGGCAAGCGGCCATGTATTAAAATGAAACTATTACAAGATAATAGGAGCAGAGGTGGTCTTGGACTACCAGAATGGGAGCTTTATTACCAGGCAGCGGTGTTGAGTTGAATTAAGGATTGGATTAAATTAAGAGACAAGAGAATCTTAACATTTGAAGGACATGACCTCTTGATAGGTTGGCATGCATTTTTGTGGGAAAATAAAAGTAATATACATACCTATTTCAATTAACACCTAATAAGAGGTTCATTGATTACAATTTGGAAAAAAATCAAAGGTAAACACTATACAGAAATCCCACAATGGCTGTCAACTATGGAAGCCATAATACATCCAAACAGATTTAGACCTACAGAAAATGGTAAGCTATGAAGAACTATTAGATAGTCAAGGGAAATTAAAATCAAACCAAGAACTGAAGGAAAATGGAATTATAATTGATTGGTGTCCATATTTGCAAATTCAAAATAAATATAAAAAAGACTCAAAAGATTTTGGATTTGACAAAGGGCAGAACCAATTAGATAAAATATTAATGGGACCAGAACAAGGGCTTATAACTAAAATATATAAATATTTATTAGATTTTAAAATGGAAGAGGAAATAGTCAAAAGTACAATGATTGCATGGGCACAGAATATTGGATACACTATAGAATTAGAGGAATGGGAAAAAATATGGAATATAAATTATACATTAACGGTATCTGCAGCATATAAAGAAAACATATAAAATGTTTTATAGATGGCATTTAGCCCCAACAAGATTGGCAAAAAGCTACTCCAATTAGAGTCCTAAATGTTGGAAGTGCAAAAAAGTTGATGGTGCATTTTATCACATGTGGTGGATGTGCCCCAAGGCCAAGACATACTGGATTCAAATTAAAAATTGGTTAAAAGAGATCACTGGCTATCAGACTGAGCTCAGACCGGAATCCTTCCTATTAGGACTCATTAAAGAAAGACTACCGAAAGAAGTAAAATATCTAGTGTTACATATTATAACAGCCGCCAGAATAGCCTTTGCGCAGATATGAAAAACACCAAATACCCCCAATGAAGAACTAATAATACACAAAGTAACAGAAAGTGCTGAGATGAATATGCTAACAATGAAACTGAAAGAAAAAGATGACTCTGAATTCTTTACAATTTGGAAGAATTGGTATAAATGGCTAACAAACAGAACTAAGAAGTGAGACAAAAATGTTAATTGAAACAACCCTTAAGAAAGTAAAATAAAATTTTGTAAACTATATAAAGATACAAGAATAGTAATTATAGCTAAATATATTATTTAATAGTAGATAAACGCAATATAATGTATTATGACATTTAAATCAAAATCTTGTATAGATGCCAAGAACGTTGTTGATACCATAATGTTTTACGATGTGAAAAAAAGAATTAATAAAAATATGTTTTTAAAAAAACAACTGTTGTAAAAAAGGATTGTAAATCTAAGATTTAGTCTTGACTTATAACTGCAATGATTTATAACTGTAATTACAAACCCAATTACAGTCATAAGTCAAGAACCACTGGTATAATAATAAGCCAAACTAAACTAAAGGAATTCACTTGCTTTTGAAGAATAAATCTCATTATATATAAAAAGTTACTGGACTAAATCATTGACTAAATAAAGTCAATTGTACATAGAGAATTAATAATAAATTGGCATTATAATGATGAAACCACTTCAAACTTTTTACAAAACTAGAGCAAGGGATAAATTTGGTAGGATGCTTCTGGAAAAACTACAGGAATCCAATACCTCAGTTGGAAAAATATTGCTTATCAGTAGCTAATGACATGTGTTTTTCTGAGCAACTTTGAATACTAAGGCAAAACCATTTGAAAGAAAAATTCTACATAGATTGTCTCCCTCTTTCTCCATTTAAATATATACAATTGCTTAATTCAAATGAAGGGACTTGCTGACTTTTCAATGTATTTTTCCAGTTGATATATTGGAAGCCACCAAGACTCAATAGTGAGATGGAGGCATATAAATTTAATAAATAAATAAACAATAAACAAGCCAGCCAGCCAGCCATTTCTTGCAACGTAATAGTTTTAACAGATATTCTATTTGTCTCCCTCATTCTCCATTAAACAAAGTTTTATTCATGCAACTGTACCTTTAAGACTTCTCCTGGGACAGATGGTGGTGATTGGAAATGAACTGGTGTGTTGATGGCTGGGGTTGAAGCCATTGGCATTTGTTGCTGTTGTTGCATGTACTGCATCACTTGCTGCTGCTGCAGACGCTCCCGTTGTTCCTCCTGTTGTACTTGCTCTCGCATAAGCTGCATCCGTAAACCAATGCGAGATGCCATGGCTGATGTTTGGGATGTGTCAAAGTTTGCTAGGGATACCTAAAGCCCTAAGAAGAAAACAGAAGAGTTGAAGCTCATGGATCTAGCATTCAATGCTAGCTTTCAATCACTGGCACAAGGGATTAAAACTTACGTAACAGCAACAAATCTCTCAACATTAAGAACTTTCTATAATAAGTCTAGTAAGAATAAATGACTTACAACCAGTTTTTTGCATATCTTTTTTTACTTATGGTTCAGCCTTCCCAGCTCTGGATGTGTTAGATCTTCAATTCCCAGAACTCTCAATTAGCAAGCTGAAGGAAGCTATTGCTTTTGAAACTGATACAACAAATTACAATATGTTTTCACCAATATTTCCCAAATGTTAAAATACAAAAACACTTGTATTCCTTTTCTCACTTTCCTGAGCCTTTGTTGCATCAGTTTTCAAATTAAGGAGAAAAAGGCAAAACAGAAATATGCACAAAAAAATGTACATATGATTGATCATATGTTTTTTGCGTTCATTTTCGAGCTTGTAGTGATTATTCATTAATATTAATGGGAGGAATTGAGCATAAGCAGCATGTATTACTCTGTGTACCTTTCAAGTTACAAGCAGCATCATAAAAATTTAAAAAGTGCAAATGCTGGTGCAAAAATGACTCCACAAACAGCTTTGAAAGGGCACATTTATATAAATAATGTATATAAATTTCTCTCCCAAAAACTGGTCCTATTTTATGATAGCATAACTTGCTAATTTTTTTTGCTTTTTAAATTAACACATACTTTTCATTTACTATTATATCTTTGTTCCTTTTGTAAGAAATTGTATTTATTTGTTAGATTTAAATTTGCCTTTTGTCAAAGAGTTTAGGATAGTATATGTTGAGGTATTCCCCATTAGGAGAATGAGTGCACTCAGGGAAACATAGTGAGAGTGGTGATGAATAACACACAACCAGGACACAGATACACTGAATAGTAAAATGTAAGTTTTACTTCCTGTAAACGGGTAAACAAAGTCCAACAAACAGTCCAAATCATACGCAGTTAAAGCAGTTAGTATTCAAAATAATCAGTCCAGGGATAATCCAAAAATGAAGTCCTTTTCTTTACCAGTATCATAAACAAAGTTCAGTAAATGGAGCTTGCAAATAGTTGCAAGACTCACAGCAATTCAAGCAGAATGGTGATCAGGCAAAAAGCAAAAGGAAAGCAAAGAAAGTGCAAAAAAGAACAAACCAGGTTTCTGGCTCCATCTTATGGCCGTTGGAGGAACCTCAGCCAATCACAATTACAACATTCTCTTATAGATACAACAGTATCAAATGACTATCCTGGTTTATATATTGCCAACCCAACTGTTAGGTGACTATCATTCCTAACAGTATACATAGCACTTTCTCCTTCCATTTTTTTCCCCACAACAATAATCTTGTGAGGTAGGCTGGGCTCAAAGAGAGTGAGTGGCCCAGCCATTCAAGGAGTTTCTGTGACTGAGAGTGAATTTGAACCTTCAATTCTCTGAGACTAAACCAAAATCCCAAAACTATAACCCTCCTTTAATCACTTACTTTCATTTTAAAAGGAAGAGGGGAGGAAAGAATTTCAGATCAAAGTCAAGTAACAATCTTACTTCCCTCTATAGTAATATCTGTCATGTATGGAATTAAAAAAAACCCTATTCATTTCTTCTTTCTGTATCATCTCTGGGCAGGTGACCAAAAGCTCTAGCATTAAAAAAGTCTGGATTACTATGGTCATATGATAAATGAGTGATAGAGGATGAGACTTGGTGGTTTAGCAAGTTCACAAGAGAAATGGTATTTGAGATAGAAATCAAATCTTTCTCATGCTTTTTCTACACATGTAATGTCTATACATATAATCCAAACATTAATTTCTAACATTCTGGGCAAGCAGTTGGATTTCTTGCCATTTGGGATACCTCTCATAAGTTTTCTATTTCTACTAAATCATATACCTTGCACCAAGCTTTCCCGCACCAAAGCTCACTAATGTAATAGTCCCCCTTACTCTCAAACTCCACAGCCGTTCCTTGTACCGACCTGAGAAAGTGTTTGGAGAATGTCAAGTCAGGGAAGACTTGAGATTTAGGGGTGGCAATCATAATTTGTAATAAGAAAATTCCTACAATGAATAAGCTTCCTCATGGATTTTTCAGACCTGTTCAACACTTCTAAGAATGAACGCAGCTGCTTATTTGGATTCCTAAATATGCATCCAAGAGTTTACACCCTGCTGGTGAAGCTGATGTCCTTAAAGTGCCTCAGCTCTTTCAAAAGCTGCCTTCTTCAGTCGTGGAGTGTGAAGAGTTTACAAACCTATCAGGGCAGATTAAGCTGTCATATTTCTTGCTGTCATAACACAGGCAATATATAGCAATTACCATGCAAAAGGATAAAGGGTTTATTCACAGGCTGAACACCCTTGTTCAAAAATTACGAGAAAAAGAAAATGTATTTTACTGCATAAACAAAATTCTCTAGAAAACTACCAGACATCACTTATATAATACCTTTTGATCTTTTCCATTAACTTCTTTCTACAACCCGATGTCTGTCAAAATAATTAAGACATGTAAAAGACTGGAATAAACAGTACCTGAACAAGAGCATCTCAAGATTCTAACGGATGCCCAATCTTTTGCACTGACAAATTTCAAGGAATATAAAATGGCCAACATTGTAATGTCTAGGATAATTACTCTTTGAAGTCCACACTGTATACAGTATTAATCATTGTCCTTAAAAATGGTGCTATATACATAATTGGAAAAGATGGAGAAAAGGGGCTACACAAATAATCAAAGTAAGAGTAGAACCCCATAAGAAAAGGCTTATGGAGAGATTTTTCAGCTGAAAAAACAGTTAAGATGAGAGACATGATAGAATGCATATAAATTGTGTGATATGGAAGAAAAGCTTTTTTTCTTCTCGCTCATGATAACTTAATCCAGGAATGGCTGTAATTGTTAGGAGATTCAGAATACTTTATTATTACATGTTTATTTTTTATTTCATTTGATTTGGAGTCCACCCAATGCCTTAACAACCCTGGGCAACTTATGATTAAAAGAGAAAAAAAAACAATTAGAAGAAACCACAACCAACCTGGAAGTTAGTTCAATACCAAAAGAATCAAAACCATAGCAATTCCACAACCATCCTATCCCAAGGCTGTGAGAACAACCAAGTTTTAATAGTTTATTGAATGTCATTGGGATGGGAATTATATGTGTCTCCTGGGGCAATGTCATTCTAGAGGGCACTACATCAAAAAAGGGGTGCTTTCTGGGTTCTAGAAAATGTCAGTGGGACCCAAAGCATGCCAACTCAACCTGACCTTACCTAACAAGTAGAAACATTCAGAAACAAGGTGTCCCTCAAGAATGAAGGTCTTAATAACCACCATCTTGAATTATACCCAGCAACCAGTTCAGCTAATGAAGCAGTGGCATAAGGCAGTGCACTTTATTGCACTGAAAGGAAAGAAAAATTAATTTGTCTTCATTTTTTATGCAACATAAACTTTCATGGATTACTGTAGTGTTCATTAGATATATATTTACCTGGAGAAATATATAGACCTAAAGACATCCAAAAATTCCAAGACAGTGAAAAAAGGAAAAGAAAATCTCAGACCATGAAATGTAAAATATCTGCAAGATTTCTCTGCATACTTTATAGATATTTTAGTGGTACATAAAAAACTGTTTCCCTCTATTTTTATGTAAAATAAAATCTCCCTGGGAGGTATACAGACTGGAAATGTCATTGTTGTAAAAATTCTGCTTGTTGCTCACATTAGTATTCTCATAATCTGTCATTCATTTTTGCTTCAGGCTATAAAACTATATTGTGAATCAAAAGTAGACATCAGCCATAAAGGGAAACGGGTTTTTTTTTGCTAACAATGCTTCAATTGCTAACTGAATGAACAGTGCTTCATCCTTAAATCCAGAATTTGGCTGAATCCCTTCTGACAGATTATCTTTAAAAAGTTCAGAATTAACAATCGAGTAAATTTTCAGGAAAAATACTGTATATTTTCCTTCCACTGCTACAATCACAATTCTCTTTTACTGTTTCATGGTTTGTAGTTGAGAGGAGTATGCTGGAGAAACCCAAAAAGCTAATACAACCCTTGGTTGTATAAACAAAGGCATAGAATCAATATCACGTAAAGCATTAGTACCACTTTATAAAGTCTTACTAAGACCATACCTGGAATACTGTATCCAGTTTTGGCTACCACATTACAAAAAAGATGTTGAGACTTTGGAAAAAGTGCAGAGAAGAACAACTAAGATGATTAAAGGCCTGGAGACTAAAACATATGAACAACGGTTGCAGAACTGGGCATGACTAGTCTAGAGGAAAGGACTGGGATGACATGACAGCAATATTCCGGTATTTGAGGGGCTGCCACAAAGAAGAGAGTCAACTTATTTTCCAAAGCACCAGAAGGCAAGACAAGAAACAATGGATGGAAACTAATCAAGAAGAGAAGCAGCCTGAATTAAGGAGAAACCTCACAACACTAATTAGCAAGTGGAACAGTTTGCCTTCAGAGGTTGTGTGTGTTTATCACTAGAGGTTTTTAAGAAGAGACAGGGAAGCCACTTGTCTCAAATTGAATAGGGTCTCCTGCTTGAGCAGGGGTTGGACTAGAAGGCCTCCAAGGACCCTTCCAGCTCTATTCTGATTCCCGTGTTATTATAAAAAAATGCAATCACCAATATTACAGGTCAACAATTCACTAGGTTTTCCCCTTTAGGAAATTCCTTTATATCACAAGATCTTAATCAGAGCAAAAGGGGCTGCTTAAAAGACAAGGAGAACTGCAAAACCAAGATAAGTTTTAAATAGCTCTTCTGGCTCTGCTTGGCTTCACCCTATGTAATATTCACCAGCTTCTGCTTTCACTCTGACTCACAGGATGGAGAGGGGGTGGAAATAAGATAGGAGGTCTGAAAACCAGTGTGGTGCAGTCATTAAGGTATGACCCCTAAGTCTTCCCTTAACCAAGGAAGTCA